AACTCCTCTGAGTAATCTCATCCAATTCTGTCACTGTGTATTAAGCTCAAAACTTCAACTCCTTTTACATTGAGTTCAGACCATGTATATACAACATCACCACTCTAATTCTTTGTATATGAAACTGAATTCATTTTTTCCCAAACCCTAATTATTAGTTAAATGGATCCTGTCTCTAACATACCCATTTTTTCCTTTCTATCTCTAGTACAACTGTCCTAATTTCTTCACTTTTGCAGTAACATTTACTGGGCTCTTTTTCTGTACAGTAGTCCCACCTTATCCGTGGTTTTGCTTTCCGCGGTTTCAGTTCCCCGCGGTCAGCTGTGGTCTGGAAGCAGATGATCCTTCTGAATCGTCAGAAGGTCAGTAGTAGCCTAATGCTACGTCACAATGCCTATTGTCATTCATCTCACTTCATCTCATCATGTAGGCATTTTTTCATCTCACATCATCACAAGAAGAATGGTAAGTACAGTACAATTGAGATACTTGAGAGAGACCACACTCACATAACTTTTTTTTTTACAGTGTGTTATAATGGTTCTATTTTATTGTTAATCTCTTACTGTGCCTAATTTATAAATTAAACTTTCTCATAAGCATGTTATGTATAGGAAAAAACACAGTATACGTAGGGTTTGGTACTGTTTGCGGTTTTAGGCATCCACTGTTGGGGAGAGGGGTCTTGGAACCTATCTCCTGCAGATAAGGGGGACTACTGTATTATCACTTCATCCATACTCTTCAGTTACCTCAATCATTACTAGTATTTAGTACAATAATCTCATATTTCACTGACTTCCCTTCACCTATATGATGTAAATAGTAAACTTTCCTTTGTATGTGCCTTTGTGCTATCCCCTGAATAGCAGAATAGCATTTATCTTTGTGTAAATATTTCCTTCTTAGTGACTTTTAGCTCTCTTCCCTGAATAGTTTTGTTCTTTGTCTAAATCTTTTTGTCTTAGTGACATCCAGCCTTAGTAAATAATTGTGACCACCAAAGCACAGGTTAATAAACTTTTTATATGAATGACCAGATAGTAAATATTTTAGGCTTCGTGAGCCATGGGGTTGGTCTCTTCCTTACAGTTCTAGTTACTTGATTCTGCCTTGTACACAAAAACAGCCATGGGTAATATATAAAATGGGTGTGGCTCTGTTCGAAAAATTGATTTGCAAAAACAGGCAATGGGTAGAAATTCGTTTGCTGACCCCTGCTCTAGCATATCTCATACTTACTAATTAATATCACCAAGCTTTATGTTGATGCTTCTATCTAGAAAAGCTGTGTCTTCTACTAAGCTCACGGAGGCAGAGCCTTTCTGGTTTCACATCTATATCCCTACCCCCTAAATAGTACTTTTTAATCCACTTGGAATTTAGAACTTGTAGGTTATTGGACATCTACTACAGGAAGCATTGTAATAGGGAGCTATGTAGGAGGTAATAGTAGTCTGCTTTAGAAAATTGAATGTTAAATTTTCTTTGATGAGGTGGCATAACTAAATATTTGAAAATTTTTATATAGTAAAATTTAACATTTGGATGGTGGCAGTCTCAATTGCAGGATTTTAACAAAATTGCCTACTTTGGTATATTTTAAAAGCAGAAACCTTCACTTATGTTAGCAAATTTGGTCCTGTGGCCATTTCTCAATAACTATTTGCATAATTGGGTGCTGGGATCCAACTTTAATAGAACTGGGAAGTAAAAGACCTTGTGGGGTAGGGGGGCGAGGGCAGTATTAAAAGTAGAAAGATTGATTACTATGTTAAGATTTTTGTATAGTTGAATGTGCCTTATTTTGTTCAGCTTCTCTTGTGGTAGTTAAAACAATTACACAGACTAACTTGTTTTGTATTTAGAATCTGCATGGAGACTTTTGTGACTTAAAAGAGGGCAAAAATACAATTTTCTCCTTTCCTATATATTCTCTATTACTAGCTTCTTACTAGTCTTAGTATGGTTGTTTAAGCATAGCATGTACTCATGCAAACAATATTTGATTTATTTCCCCTTCTTTCTGATCTTCAGTTAAGTTTCATGGAAACTTGAAATTCTAATCAAGGACATCAAGTTGCTACTAGTTACAGAAGTATTTAATATTAAATAGCTGGAAGGGGAATTGCATTCATTTCTCAGTTCAGCACTTCAGATAATGTTGATGTATTTCTTGGCTAGAAGCTAGGTTGGCCCATGGCTAATTTTTTAGCTAGGTCATACATCCCTTTCCCCTCCTCAAAAAGCATAATCAGTTTCACTACTCCAGAGCCCTTATTTGAGTGTAAAAAGACTTTCTTAGCAGAAATCATTTAAAATCTATGTTTAAAACCTGGGGCGCCTGGGTGGCTCATTGGTTAGGTGTCTGCCTTCGGCTCGGGTCATGATCCCACGTGGGATCAAGCCCCGCATCCATCGGGCTCCCTGCTCAGCGGGAAGCCTGCTTCTCCCTCTCCCCCTGCTTGTGTTCCTCCTCTGGCTGTCTCTGTCAAATAAATAAAATCTTTAAAAAAATAAAATTTATGTTTAAAACCTAAAGCTAAGCTAAGGAAATGTCTTCAATCCAATGAAGACCTTGGGTGGTTGCAAATAGTTATTTTTGTCTTTAAAATTTATATGTTTGCCTTTAAAGTACTCTAGTTTTTATGGATTCTTGAGTGTAGTCCCCCCCTTCCCCCACCAAAAAAGGGTCGGCGGGGACGGGCAGGTTGAGGTTTGTGGTGGGGAGGAGAAAAGGAAATGTTAATAGCATAGGTGGGTCAAAATGAAAAGTTGGTGTTTTTCTCAACATACAACTAAATAACACATTTATCTTTACATTAAACAGACTTAATGAGCATCAAGTAACACATACAGAATTCAGGAATTTATTTGTTGCAAGATGTGAGATTTCTGTACTTTGACTAAAAGAAAAAATGTTTGTGTTGGATTAATGTTTCTGAAGTCAGATCAACCAAGAGAAAAGGCTTATCTTTGGACTTCTTAAAGTACACCATTCTGAAGTACAGAAATGTGTAGGATAACAGCTCTAATGACCATTTCAGCTATTCCTAATTGTCTGAAACTAATAGAATTAGAAGTTAGATTAATAGATATGAGTGCCATGACTAGAATAACCTTCCTGATATATCTTCTTTTTTCCAGATTAGATTGGTCACAATTCTCTCCCCTTCTTAGACCTAAGGAGATGGGATTTTCCTGCCAATCTTTGGATGGGTGTCTGTCCAGTGATTTTTTTTTTTTTTTTTTTTTTTGAGAGAAAGAGTGAGCACAAGCAAGGAGAGGGGCAGAGGGAGAGGGAGAAGCAGACTTTCTGCTGAGCAGGAAGCCCGATGCAGGGCTTGATCTCAGAACCCTGAGATAATGACCTGAGCCAAAGGCAGATACTTAACCAACTGAACCACCCAGGAGCCCCTGTCCAGTGATTTGAAGCCCATAGCATCCATCTAAGCTCTTGGACCAAGTGACAACTAGTGTATTATTTCCCAGTCTTTGTTTAATCAGGCATTTATTATACCTTGAGTGCAATTTTATCTGGATAATTACTTTGATTATTTTGAATAATTAACCTATTGTTCCAAACATCCAATTCTGGCAAATTTTCAAAACTTAGAAGTTTTTTAGGAGTGAATTTGGTGGGGGATAGAAGGGAGCAGGGAGAGTGTGATCTACCAGTCTCTGATTCCAACAGTAAACATAAAACAAAAAAATAATTTGAGATTTATACACTTTTAGCCCTGAGGAGAGATTATGTTTTACCTTAACTATAACCCATGTCCAGATACATCCTATCTTAAGGAGCTCTAGTTTTATTTTTCATTAACTGTAATTGGCCACTGATAAATTATATGGAATACAATTACACAAAATCCAGTTATACAGAAGGAAAATCACCTTTTTGTCTTTCAGAATGGCAGTTGTATGGCCATGGGAAGAGCACTTATTCTCTAGTCATAGTTCATTCCTGTTAACTGTGTAGTCTTTGTTTACATTATAAACCTAGTAGAGTATTTCCTTTCAAGGTATTGTAATTCCTATTTTCCTGTTCTTTGGTTCTTGTGGTATAGTAGTCATCTCTTATTCATCACACCTTCAAATGAGCCCTCTGTGAAGCTTTCTGGAATGCTTACAGATAGAATTTTTCTTGCCTTTTCTCTGTATGTCACTATAGTTCAGTCATGTACATATTTTCTTCACTGTAAGTTATCAAAGTAAGCACATTGTGATCACATTTCAATGGAATTGGAGCAAATGAGGATTGTGTTTACTAATAAATGGGTATGGATTCACATTTTGACCTTATGGGTTAAAAATAAGAGTAGGTGTGATTTGAAGAGCAGAATCACTTGCCTATAGCAAAGAGTTAAGTAAAATTTTAATAAGGCATTTTAAGCATCATGCTTAATCAAATTTGAATGCTTCATTCAGAAGACTTGGGTACCCCATTGGGTTATGATGGGTTGCCAAAAAATACTTCATTTTTTTAATAACAATGAGCTGTTACAAGAAATACCATTTAGATTAAAGCATGCTTCAGCATATCTTTGCTATTTGTATGGATAGAATTGTTCTCTTGGTAGTTTGATTTCAGATGATAATTCATTTTTTTTTTAAAGATTTCATTTATTTATTTGACAGAGATAAAGAAAGCATAAACGGGGAGCAGCAGGGAGAGAGAGAAGCAGGTTCCCTGCTGAGCAAAGAGCCCGATGCAGGGCTTGATCCCAGACCCTGGGATCATGACCTGAGCCGAAAGGCAGACGCTTATAATTCATTTTCTGTAATTAACTTAAGGGAATCTGAAAGACACTATTGAGAATTCCAAGAAAATAAGAGTGTTTTGTCTAAGGTTAGAACTGTGCTATTTCAACCCTACCTCTAGCCCAGCAATAACCAGTCTAGATTTTTTAGGTTTAAAGTGAAAAGCATAGCTTTAAACTTTGCTCTATAAAATTTAGTGTATAAAATAATCTTTTTTTTCTCTTTCTTTGCAGAAATGGAATCTGTTTGGAATTTGCAGAAGCAAGGTAAGAATGGTTAGGTTACTTAAAATGTTAGTACTAATGACTAATTAGTGTATGTTACGTTTGGGTGGGAATAACATAAACAGTGACCAACCAAGTGAATAGGCTTTATATTTTGAATTATTTAATAACTGCAGTTAAAAGACATTGGCTGCCTTACCAGGATTGCTAAACATGGGGTAACACTGAAAAGAGTATATGAAAATACTCTTCACCTACTAGGTGAAGAACATGAATGTTTTTCCCCCCTCTAATTATGAAAGTAAGACAGAACATAAATATTTTTAATCTAGGAAACCAGCATGAATAAGTGTTTCCACTTACAGCCAGTCTTTATCTGTATTTGTATGGTAGACAAGTGGTATCCTAAGAACTGAAATTCATAGTTCAGAAAAATATTAGCTAGCTGTTTTAGAAGCCTTATTTGGGCTGTTATATTCTCTGAAATAATAGATGGTTAAAAATCCTAAAGAATAGCAAATTAGCTTCCTTCGTGAACCACGTGTATAAGATGTGAATAGCAGGAATGCAAAGGGACTGAATAACCCACATCTGGATTGTTTGGAATTTTCAAAAAATTTAAATTGGTTATCCTGATTATTGTGTCTTTTCCAAATATATTAAAATGTGGTAAGATATGGAATACCTGAAATAAAGTAAGTTTCAGTCTGGAGAACTAGTCACTAATAGATTTGGGCTTTTAGAACCCTGTAACTGAATTGCATCCCATTTCCCATCCACTTTGCTAGCTCATATAAGTGAGAGAGGTCACTGTGTAAGCTAAAAAGTGGCAAGATTAAATGTAGGTTTCCCTGGGGGCTCCTGGCTAGCTCAGTTGGAAGAGCATGGGACTCTTGATCTCACGGTTTTGAATTAGAGCCCCACGTTGGGTGTAGAGATTACTTAAAAAATAAAAAATGGGGGCGCCTGGGTGGCTCAGTTGGTTAAGCAACTGCCTTCGGCTCGGGTCATGATCCCAGGGACCTGGGATCGAGCCCTGCATCGGGCTCCCTGCTCGGCGGGAAGCCTGCTTCTCCCTCTCCCACTCCCCCTGCTTGTGTTCCCTCTCTCTCTGTCTCTTTCTCTGTGTCAATTAAATAAATAAAATCTTTAAAAAATAAAATAAATAAATCTTTTTAAAAATGTAGGTTTCCCTGATTTCCGGGCATTGCTTCTCCTTCCATCTCTCTCTTGTACTTAGGCCAGGTCTTACTTGTCTAACACAGCTGTGGCCTGAAGATACTAGCAAGTTCCTAAATTATTTTGAGTTGCTTCTGGGCAAACGAAAAAATAGACTAGAAAATATACTCTGCAAAAGTAGACCTCCTATATTTACTGTAAAATGGCCATTAACTATTAAGAACTAGCATTATCTTAAGAAAAAAAAAAAGAACTAGCATTATCTTCATGGCAAGTTGCTAGAGGATGGCTATTACAGTCCTAGAAAGGGTATTATTTTGTCTCTGCACTAAATTAGATTGACTGTTAGGCTCAAGGTGAGCATGAGATCTTTAATATTATTTTTAGGCCTATACTTTTCCATTAGGCAACAAGTTTAATTGGTTTCCTGTTTTTTATTAAAAGCGTATGTACTTTTAAAAGTTCTTAGATAGGGGGAAATGGTATGTAATAAAATTGCCTCTTCAGAACAGGGGAGCATACAGCTAAATAACTGGAATTTAGAATAGCACCCAAATCTTAGCTTATGCGCAGTGCTGAGAATAAAGACTGGTGGTGCTATGGGAAATTCGGAGGAAGAAAGAAGTAAGTCATGATTAGGACTGAACTGACAGTTTTGCCAAACTTAACCAGAAGTTTTTGGTGCTAGATGTGCCTTGAACAGTTCCTTACTAGACAGCCCCCACAGGTTAAAGTAAATTTTGACTTCATTTTACTGAGAACAAAAATAAATAAATCCAAGTGTTTGTTTTAGTATTGGATTATTGACGATTTAAGCTTTTCTAATTGGGAGAAACACATAAACCCTTATTTTTTTTTTTTAAGATTTTTATTTATTTGACAGAGAGAGACACAGCGAGAGAGGGGACACAAGCAGTGGGAGCGGGAGAGGGAGAAGCAGGCTTCCTGCTGAGCAGGGAGCCCAATGTGGGGCTCGATCCCAGGACTCTGGGATCATAACCTGAGCCAAAGGCAGACACTTAACGACTGAGCCACCCAGGCGCCCCACATAAACCCTTATTAAATGAGCTCAGCCCCTGTCTGATCTGTAGGAGTTGAAGCCCTCGCTGGCTGGAGAACACTGTTGCTGGAAATCCTTTGGGATGCTGAACTATTTATTGGGTTGTGGAAAAGTAGATCATGTGTGTGTTAATACAAAGAAGTGGTCTTTATTTTTTTATTTATTAATTTTTTTTTTTTAGAGGGGGAAAGAGAGAATTTTTTTTCTTTTTTTTTTTTTTTAAGATTTTATTTGAGAGAGCAAGAGCACACGCTGGGCAGAGAGGCAGAGGGAGGGAGAAGCAGGCTTCCGTTGAGCAGCGAGCCCGACATGGGGCTCGATCCCAGGACCCTGGGATCATGACCTGAGCCAAAGGCAGACGCTTAACTGACTGAGCCACCCAGGCCCCCAAGAGAGAATCTTAAGCAGGCTCCACACCCAGCGCAAAGCCCAAGGTGGAGCCCAAAACAGGGCTCGATCTTAACCCTGAGATATGACCTGAGCCAAAATTGAGTCAGACACTTAAATGACTCAGCCAACCAGGTGCCCTAAAGAAGTGGTCTTTAAATTGTGTTTTCATAAAAAAGGCAGCTAAAATGATGGTTATTTGGAATTTGTTATTGGAATATGGGCTTTTTGGCATTCCAGACCTTATTTTTATTTATGTATCTATTTTTTAACCTTCTCTCTAGATCCCAAAAGGATAATCACTTACAATGAAGCCATGGATAGTCCAGATCAATGAAGGACCAGACTGCCTATTTGTAACCTTTCTGCAGCATTAGAGCCACCGTTCATGGGGGACACAAGGCTTTTATGCTCCTAGATCTTCAACGCAGCAGAGGAACCATAAGTAGAATCACAGGATAATATATACAAATATATATATATACATATATATATATAGTTATTTAAAAAAAAAGGCAACTGAAAGTAATTAGACTTCTTAAGGAATCAAATTTATTTCAAGAGACTACACATGGTTATTTAATCTCCGGTACTGAATAGTTTTTTTTTTTCTTTTTTCTTTTGTTAGTTTTTGTTTTTAAGTGTGAATGCAAGTGATTAATGAATACAGACTTATTAACAAGCGTGGTTCTAAAGTTCCTGCTGTCATCAACTTGGGCAACAAATGACCCACTGGAAAGGCAAATCCACTTAAAAGATCTCTGTATCTTGTTCTGTGACTAAAGTGATACACTAATCACGGGGAACCCAGAATGATTCACCATTTTCCCCCACTCCTCCCTTGATCTTTTGGTTATACTTTTGAGCCCTGCGAGAATGCTGGATAAATGCCTTGAAGTTTGCAGGGGTGTATTTTTTTCTTTTTTCTTTTTTTTTTTTTTTAGCGAATATGTTTTGCATGTCTTGCCAGGAGTTAAGCAGCCTCTGTGGGGTGTTGGGGAAATATTTTCTTTCTTTTCCTTTTATTTTTTGTGGGGTGGGAATAGGGGAGGGCATTGAAGTTCTACAATTCTGGAATGGTGGTACATAGTTCACTTGGCTTTGGTTACATACTGGACTTTAACAAGTGAAGAATCCATGAGTGTCATTTAAGGAAAAGTTACAGAACAAACAATTGGCTTTAGATATTTAATATGGAAAAATATTCCTTTGCCCATATTTTAATGTAATTGTATAAGTGGGAGCAAAAATATATTCTGCTTTTCAACTGTAGGTGCTCCAGACTTGCTCTCTGTCACTAACACTAAATGTGCTGTTTTCCTTGTTTTTCATTGAACATCTAAAGAGAAACTTCTGTACCTTTCTGTAAATTCTCTTTTAATTTCTCAGAAATATCTAAAAGGGGAAGAAAATTTTCCATGAAAACTATAAAACTTTTCATGTTTTTAGCCAGTGAGGAGGTAATAAACCCTGCCTATAGAAGGTGTGTTTTCATGCAAACTATACTTCTGAGCTTATTAGCTTCTAATTATATCTTAATAAATATATTTTATTACTAGAGCAAAATGGGTTTTTTAAGGAAAATAATGTGAAATTCTGGAAATTTTCTTTTGGGCAGAGAAGAGCATTAGCCCTGTCTTATCATCACATTGCCATCCTGTTGCACTGCAGCTTGTATATAGCATGCTAAAATAAATTTTTTTGTGTGTGTGCAGAAACTAAGGGTCCAATTTAAGATTGGGTGATGTTAGTGGCATAAAAACAAGTTCTCTGGCCTGACATAGCATCACATCACACACACAGAAATTAGTATATCCATGTATGTCAAATACAGGTTAAAATAGCAGGGCATTATATAGAGAGGTGTAGTCTTCTAATAAAAGTAGACTGGATCCCCTGGGGTGTTTGGGGGAGAAGGTACACCTACTTTTGCTCAAACCCTTTGCTTAAGAAATGTCCAGTTTTGAGCGATTGTAGTATGGATGAGTTTTCTTGTTTTGTTGATTATTTGAGACTTTTAACAAGTAGTTTGTGAACGAAGCTGTTGGACTCAACATAGAGTAGAGAAAATATCTTTAGTCTGGATTTCTGCCCTGCTTAGATTTTAAAAGTATAAGCATGGATTGCCAATTCCACTTGATGTAAACAAAACTTTTTATACATAATATATATATATAATAACTTATTGTATCAGTCCAGGTTCAGAAACTTGTGGTAGGCCAGTTCCAGATAGTTTCATTTCACCTGTAAACTGTATCACTTTTACTGATATTGTAATTTTCAAATGTATAATATGTTTACAGATGTGCCCTGCATTTAGTCTGCCTTGTTCCTATTTTGATTTTTGTTGAGTCTCCTGCCTGCTTGCCAAAAGCTAGGATGCTTCAGGCCCGTGTACAATTGAAAGCAGAGGCATCCTTGAGCTTTAAAGCATTGAACAAACTGGAAAATGCAACATACCACATACTGAAGTGAAAGAAGTCTGTGTTTTTGTGTTTTTTTTTTAAATAAAAATTTTCAAAAAGTTAAAAAAAAAGATATAAGGTGATTAAAGGACAAAAAGACTCCAGTTTGTTTTATAGGTTTTAAAGTTCTGCTGTGTGTTCAATTGCCTTGTGTAACCACTTGTCGCCTTAGGGCCAGATTCCCCCTGCCACCCCCCTTCTTTTTTTAAACGTCCATTTTGCTTGCCTGGAATTTAAAAGCTCTTCTGTCTCACAACTCACAAGAAACTTTCTGGGTTTGTGACATAGAGGTTGAATGAATATATATTTAAAAAAGGAAAAAAATTAAAAAAAAAAAAAACAGTCCCCGTCTGAATTGGGCTTTTTAATTTAGAAGCAACGCTTAAAAAATGTCTTTAGAAATCTCTTGTTGCTTTCCTGCTTCCCTTCCACAGCCCTCAGGCCTCCATGTTTAGAGAAGCCAAAAAAGAGAATGTATCCCTTATCTGTTTGTCCAAAGGTTTTTGAGAATCTCACTTCTAAATGAAACAATGCAACATTTCACCTTGATTTTTCTCCACTGAAATTTCCTTATTATATGGTTAGAGGTATATAGTTAGGAATGTCTCTTTCTGGGAACCCTAGTGCCCCATCATATTAATTGTCAGTATTTTTGGGCATTGGGTTAATGGACTTAATTGCCTAGGTACAAGCAGGACTTTGGGACAAATCTCCTTTGTGCTGTTTGGTAACACTTAACTCTACTTGTCGCAATCTTTCTCCTTAGGTCCTCACACAATTCCTTACAGAGCACTTATTAAAAAAAATCTTAAGAGTTGATCTGTTTTCTGATTATTTTTGTGTAAGCTTCTAAACAAACTTCAGCTGTGATTAATTTAGCACATTTAAATAACATCAATGTGTTATTGTTTGGTATAAAGAATTTTCCTTCAACTCAGAGTATTAGTACTGTAGCATAAACCAAATACAGTCTAGAGGGGATTTTTAACATCCCTCCATTATAAAGACTGAAAAAGGAGTGTGTGTGTGTGTGTGTGTGTGTGTGTGTGTGTGTGTGTGTGTGTG